CAGCAGGCCAAGTAGTGGGCTGAAATACTCGTGCTGGAGTATTTAACACTTCAGATCATGGGAAACAGGCCCCTGAGCAAACACGCCCTCATTAGCCAACCATCCCTGCTCCGGTGGTTTTCACACAATGTGACCTTTAGTCAAGAGCCCTTAAGGAACAATCACAAAACAGGAGCAGTCTGTTCATTTCTATAACCAAACCACCAGGAACCCCGATGGTTCCTGGCCCTGATTACAGAGAGCCGCCTGCGAGGGCACTGAATTAGCTTCTGTGTGCTTGTTCCTTGCTTCAGCTGCCTCCCTTTCCCAAAGGGCCTCTTAGGGAAAAAAAACAAACAACCGTGGGCTGGGGAGGGGAAGGATGTGTTTCCATCCCCTCTCCCCTTCTGGCGTTGCCTGCCTTCTTTCTGCCTGTGGCCTATGAATGCTTACCTCAGAGGTGAGAAAGCATTTGGCCAGATGCTGTCGCAAGCCAGAAAGGTTTTATTATATTGCAATTTTTCTGTGCATACTTCATTGCCCAAATGCCCCAAGAAACCCATGGGGCTCCAAGGATCAGGGATCTATACAGGAGATTGAGAGCTGTGAAGGGGCCAGCTAGTCCTCCCCTTCATGAGTAGAGGCATTCAACGCTCAGTGCTGCAGATACAGCATTTCTCAAAGCTCTGAGCACTGCTTGTCAGCTGCTGCTGCTCTTCTCTCTCCTAGCCGGACCCCTGGAACACCCACGTCTGGAAAGGGGTCAATGGGACACCTACCAAGAAGAGGGCCATTGGCTTTAAGAAGTTAGCAAAGTAAGTACCAGTGGGTTCTGAAAAGCCCTGGAGTGTTTGGGGCCGGTCCTGGTTTCAGGCAGCTCTGTTTGCTGTGCTGTTTGATAGCGCTGCCCTACGGATGTGTGCAAACTGATGGGTTGTGATCTTGGATCTCAGGCCACCGAAGGTTTTAGCTGCCAAGAGGGACATCTGGAGAAAGAGGCAGTCCTCTGAACATCCCATTAGACCACCAAAAGCTGTGTGACCAGATGAATACCAGATGTTGCATATAGTCTCTTCTCCCAAGCTGGTTCACTCTCCAGTAAGGTGGCCTGCAGTGTTCAAGAATGGCTTTCTTGCTTCTTGGGGGTACATTGACTGTACATCTCCTTTCACAGCCTCCTGAGGCAGAGTGGTCACACATCGCTGTTCAGGGCCACGCTGGCGCAAGCGAGATGAAACCTGTGTCCATATTTCCCTTTCTCTCGCTGACTCTAGCTACTTGAGGAGCACTTGTCTCCAGTGCATGCCTAAACCTCCGAACATCCACTTTGCAAGGAGGAGGGAGATAGGAATGATAAATCTCCCGACGGGTAGCAGATGGATTTGGGCCGAGCTGAGGTTTGCACTTCATGGCCAGCTGACCCCTCGTTATGGGCCACACGAGTCCCTCTCTCCCCTGCCAAAGCTCCTAGTCAGCAGGGGCGTAGGAATGAAGTGTAATTTGGACCCTTTGGCTGATCCTGGCTCAAACGCCTCCCCCATGGGCCATTGCCAGCGAGGTTCTTGTAGGAGCTGCTGGCTCCATGGCAGCAGAGCCCTGGGCCAAGGCTAGGGAGGGCTGGGTCTGCCCCGCTATCTGTGGCCAGGCTGCCAGGTGGCCTTGTGCTGTTCGCAGCACCTCCCCACGCTTCAGTTTCCCCAAGTCACTACTATCAGTTTGTTCCCACTCTTCAGCTGTCACCTTCTGTAAGCTATTTTCCCTGGTGCATCCATAAACATGATGAGCAGCTGATGAATGTGCTCCTTAGGCTGACACTGGTGCCTGGGTCTGGGCTGCAGCCCGGGGCTGGTGGAGAGCGCAAGAAGATTAATTGAGCCATTGAGTTAGAAGAAACAGTGCTTTTATTTGTGTGTGCACGATTGACAAACGATCTTATAAAAATGTGAGCATGGCAGGTGATTTAAAAAAAAAAAAATCTCCATTGTTCCTGATGTAGGGGAGGGGAATTATTTTTGTAATTCATCATTGATCCTGCCTGAATCTGAGCTAATCAGCTGCACAAGTGGCGGAGCGAGCCCAGCAGTCCTGAGCGTTGCAGTTGGCACTGGTCGCAGCATGATTTTGATGCCTGTTCAGACAGGCTGTGCTGGTTCTGGCCAAATCAGAGCATTCAACCCTGCCCGTCCTGCCCCTTCCCTCCCCTGGGTCCAGGGTAAGCCCTGGTGACAGGGGACACTACTGTCATGGGAAAGCAAAGGGGCAACTTTGATATGCAGAACTACGCTGAGGAGTGATTGTATAGCAGCAAATACAAACGCTCCTGAGGCTGACTTTGACATGCAGGGAAGCTGCCCAGAGGAGTCAGGACATACCAGCCTGGTTGAGTTTCTACCTCTTCTCTCCTCCCTTTTTTTCCCCCAAGTGATTGTGCAAACCTAGAGCACTTCTTCTGTTCTTGGCAGGAGGGGTAGGGGGAAGCTGGCCTTCTCTTCTCCTGCCAGTGTAACCAGTCCAGCTGCCATCTCCATTCCCCATAGGTCGTC